GTCTTTAGTAGACGGAGTACTTCAAGGATAATGACTGAGTTCATTTTTATATTTCCCCAATACTCTGCAATGTACATAGGAGGCATTAATAAATATCTGTGGGAAGGAACACTTGATGAATGATTTATGCTTATATTTTTGTTTTAGTCTGTTTATTTTACATCTGGAATACTTTTTTAAATTTTTAAATAATTTAAACAATTTAAAGATTGTAATATAGTTGTAGCATTCCCCTTTCCCTTTCCCCCCTCCAAAACTTCCCATGTACACCCACTGTATAAACTAAAGGTTTTGGCACCAGATGTATAAACTGACAACATGACCTCTCCATGGTATGGTTAAGAGAAGTTTTTATTGTAGATTTGAGGGTGAGTACAGCTAGAGGCATCTGGAAGACTCAGAGCAGGGAGAGAAAGTAGATTGAACAAGGCCAGAAGACTGGACTGGGCCAGGAGAGGAGAAAGAGAGAGCGGGAGAGTGAGAGAGGAAGACAAAGAGAGAAGAGGACCGAGAGAAGGGAACAAAAAGAAAGCAGCACAGCAGAAATAGCAGGGTTATAAGGACAATGAGAAGCGGGGCGCTGGGAAGTCCGTGAGCTGGAGAAATGTAGGGTAAGGAGTGGGATGAGAAGAGCCAGGATGCCAGCACAGACTCTGAAATGTATGACAGGTACATGTGACACTGAGGGAGCCTCGAGGCCAGCATGAACTTTGGTATGCTAGTAGGCAGGCACCACAGATAGCCTTTTGTGCCTTCTGCCAGTGTAAGGAAATGGCTCCACTGATAGAGAGGGAACTGGTTTTATAAGTTCCTGAGGAGTGCTGGCTTTTGTCTAAGCAGCAGAATTTGGACCCGACATCACCCTTCAAATTCATGGCCTCTTTTTCTTTAATTGTTGGTGTTGGTGGTGGTGGTGGTGGTATGTATGTATGTTTCTAAATACTAAATACTGAATACACCCTGCTCAGTCTGTATAGTGTGAGTTGTATGTGTGTTTTCAGGGCTGACCCTCTGGTAATAGATAATCAATTGTTTGGCCTGTCCCTCTCCACTCTCAACATTCCTTAGTGGTCTACAGTTGTTTGTCTAGGGTTGAGGCCCCCTAAGCTTACTCTTCCACATTAGCACGTCTACTGGTATTGTTCTTGTTCAGATCATGTTTAGGCTAGGATTCTTAAAAACCTATCTATGTTCTGTATTAAACTAAAGGAGAGAATCACATGGCCTAACATCATATGATTAAAAGGTAAAAGAAGTGAGGACTAAGATGGCACAATGGTGTGGCTATGAACTCCCAAACAATATACAAATGACATATTAAAATTAATCATTGATATAGGAAGATTGATGTATATGTTTGTTATGTAAAATTCAATTCTATTTCTACATATTGTTAAACTCACTGACCAAAAATAAAACCACTACCACAGTTTAAAGCCCAATTTGAAGCAAGCTTTAATTAAATACTGGCCAGGTGTATGGGATCTGGGCAGGTCCATACCCAGGTTCCTGGAAAATGGCCCAGAATCACAGTTTGCAGCAGCTTAAGAAAGAAAACTCATAATTCATTGCATTTCCCATCAGGTCTAATCAGGGGCAAGCATACATTCCGATGTACCTCTAACCTACATCCAATCAGGGGCAAATGTACATCCTGATGTGTTTTCTTCCTGTGAACCTCCCACCCACACATGATCAAGCACATCTGGTGCAGATGGGTCAAACTAGCTTGTTTAGGGGAGTGAAAAACCTGTGACTTGTTATCTCCCATAAACAACAGCCTCCAGTATTTCAGGAACAGTCTGTCCTTGGGCAATCAAGGGGCTTGCAGATCAGAGGCATTTTTGTTTCATGGTCTCTTAAGCATAGTAATTAAAACTTAAAATGTAACTTTGGCTCTCACAGTACCAATGACAGCTGGGTCCCTGTGTTTGTGGGTTCTGTGTCTGTGAATTTAAATAGTTGCAGATTGAAAATATCAAAGCATTGCATCTTGAGTTAAGGGTGGTACAACATCCCAGCACTCAGAAGGCTAGAACAGCAGGACCTCAAGTTTGAAACCAGCCCGGACTATATAGTAAGATCCTGCTCAAAAACAATAACAGAATCAAAATGCATCTGTACTGAACATAAACAGATTTTTCTCACACCATTACTCTCTAAACAGTTACTCCCTTTAGCAGCCATTCACATAATTTTGCATTGCATTAGATATAGTAAGTAACCTAGAGATGAGATTGTGTATACAGGAAGATGTATATACATTGTATGCAGATATAGTACCATATTAGGTAAGAGATTTGAATATTCATACATTTTTATTTCCATGAAGACCCTGGAAATAATCCCCGATAGATGCCAAAGGAAAACTATGAAGCATTAGAAAATAAAATAACAGCACCATTTATAATAACATGAACTTTTGAAATGCCAAGGCATGATTGTAATGAATTATGTGTAAGACTTCTACATATAAAACTTTGCTGAAAGAAATTTGAAAAGCTCTAAGTAAATTGAAGAATGTTTACTGATCAAAAGGCTCAACTCTGGGGAGCTAGAGACATGGCTTAGCAACAAAGACTTGTGTAGAAAACTAGAGTTCGGTTCCTAGCTCTTACATCAGATGGCTCATAACAACCTACAAATGCAGCATTAGGAGATCACATACCCTCTCTTGGCCTCTGTGGGCACCTGCACTCACATATGGACGTATGCTCATAGACAGACCAACGGACACAAATATAAACACAATTAAAAATAATATGAGCCTTTTTTTTTTAAGGTCTCAACTCTATCAAGACAAGTTTTCTCCAAGGTAGCTGATGATTCAGAACCTCCCCCCCCCAAAAATCAGTAGTGTGCTCAGCACATACATAATTCATTAATCCTGAAATTTGAATGGAACTGTTAGATACTGAAGAAATGTAAAGAGTTCACACTGCCCAGTAAGGTATGGTGACTTACTTGAGGCAGAAGGGTTGAAAGAGTGATCTAGATCAACAGAGAAAGAGTGGAGAGTCCAGAAGCAGACCCAAGCAGACACAGACACTTGGTTCATGAAAATGATTGTACCACAGACTGAAGGAGAGATTTCCCCCTCAAAATGGTGTTGTCTCGTTTTAAAGTTTCAAACCATAGTTCACATTCCACACAAAAATTAGACTCTAAGTTAAAGTGAAAGCAACAAAGTCTATGAAGAAAATAGAAGACGGTCTCCATGAGCAAGGAGTGGGAAAAGATTTCTCCAACAAGATACTAAAGTGTCTTAACCATAAATTAAAACCTGTAATATTAGGCAATACTGTATTATGGACCTCTAACTCAAAAGCACAGAAGGAGGAAGACTTTTATAATCTATATATCTGACAGAGAGGCTCGTATCCATCATGTATAACAAGCTTTTTTTTTTAATTTGATTTTTAAAAGTCAGACAGCCCAGTAGGAAAAACACCTCTGAAGAGATATTTTATGAAACACAACTTCACTGTCCATTTGTAGGGAACCCATGGGGATGCTTTTGAAAGTACAAGGCCTGGATAATTATGCAAGAAAAACAGATAAGCCATGGTAAATGGTTCTCCTGATTATCTGAGATGGTCAGTGTTTTCACCACCAGAATCAACCACACAGCTCCCTGAATTGTTAAAACCAGAACAAAACAAGGTAAACAAAACCCAGACAGTATTGAGTGATGACTGTATAAAGCAGCTGAACGTTCATGCACTCATTAGTTGGTTAAAAAAACAAACAAACAAACAAAAAAACACTTTGGGAGGCCTTTTGGATGTATCCACTGACTTTGACGTACCTGCAATCCAGCAATTCTTTTATAGTTACAGACACAGTGAATTCATTCACGTGTGTGATGCATGTACAAGAATGTTCCTAAGTACATTACTTGTGATTAAGCTGGCGAGAAGTCATTGTTCCACAAGAGTGGAATGAATTAGCAATGTGATATTCAGACAGGGGAACGCAATGCCACTGTGTAACAGCCGAAGTGAATAAACCATGAGAATAGAATATTCTGGAAAAGAAGCCAGCCACACAAGAGCATGCATTTAGTGACTCACTTTCTATCAGTTTTAAATGAAGTATCCTAGTTTTGCTGGTGGAAATCCGGGCACTGGTTCAGGGGAGAGGAAGGGGCCACGAAGTCACTATGACTTCTTGTTTCTTGGTTGCATGCACTTCGTGAAAACTGGGCAGACCCTATGCTTAGGAATTTTGCATCTTCCTACGTGCATATTCACTTTAAAACCAACATAGAAAATTATTTTTTCAAAAATATATCAAATATAAAATTAGCTTTGTAAATTAACTTCCAGGTTCAAAATTTTCAGTACATAGTTCTTAACTCTTAAAAATGTGTAGCTCTTAACTTTTAATGAATATTTTTTTTTTTTTTTTTTTTTGGTTTTTCGAGACAGGGTTTCTCTGTGTAGCTTTGCGCCTTTTCCTGGAACTCACTTGGTAGCCCAGGCTGGCCTCGAACTCACAGAGATCCGCCTGGCTCTACCTCCCGAGTGCTGGGATTAAAGGCGTGCACCACCACCACCCAGCTCTCTTAATGAATATTTAAGATATCTTTTCATCATTGCTCTCTTATTTTTCTGGCTATAATGGTAGGATGACAGGCTGGCCTTTCTCACTGGACCAAAGGCCCATTTCTCTGTGGTTGTAGGGATTGGGGTAGTCAGGTCTGTTTGCTATCTTATCTGATTTATTGGACAAATAAATTCTGTTTGAATTTGATTTTCTTGTGTTGCTCATTGTGACATAATAAAAGGAAAGGGAGTGTTTTTATCAAAGGATGAGATGAGATGGATGCCATGGCACTCTGTTCTAGAAGGCTGAGGGGAGAAGACCGTGAGTTCAAGGCTAGGCTGCATAGCAGGGTCAGATCCTGTCTCAAAAAATGTTAAAGTACAGTATACAGAAATAACTTTTCAACAGGTGGTTGATATTTAATGACAATTAACTTCTTTTTTCCATCCTAGGCCGACCAGATATCTGGTTTTCACATAAGATCTGTTCTCTGTGTCCCTATTTGGAACAGCAACCACCAAATAATTGGTAAGATAGTACCCACATGATTCTAACTTCTTTGTGAAACAACAGACACTGTTCTTTAACACAGAAAACAGGTCCATATATTTTTATGTGTTCCCCACTGTGTGTGTGTGTTGCCTTTGACCTCTGGCTAGCCTGGGGCTCATAACAATCCTCCTTCCTCTGCCTCCTCAGAACTTTCCAAGCTGTGTCTCCATGCTTTTCCACAATTCCATAAACATAGATTACTAACGAGTGGGCATCAGGTAGAACAGGAACCAACATGTATTTTAAGCTCAAAGCACTAGTCAATTCTGAAGTTGGGAGGGGTCTTAGAAGACTACCAATTGAACTTCGTTATTTTATATTGCAGACGTTGAAGAACAGAGATGGAAGTAGGGAGAGAAAGAGGGGGCGGGGAGAGAGAGAGAGAGATACTGAAACAGTCACGAAGTTACAGTTAGTAAAGGGATCAAGATTAAACTTGAGGAGTCCTAACTTTCCCATGATGTCTATGTCCATGCCTGAGCTTTCACACATAGTGTGGGTGAGAAGGTGCTGGACACATCTGGACATGTATCTTTGCTGGCATGTCTCTGAACAGACACTTTGCCCACAATAAGGAAACTGTAGGCAAAGGCAGCTTCCAATGTTTTTCTCCCTACATGCCATTTCCCTTTACCTCATAAAACAGTCGGAGCTTGGCATAGTGGCACATACATGAAATTCAACACTTTGGGGATAGAGGCAGGAAGAATTCAAGGTCATCCTCAGCTACACAGTGAGTTCAAGGCCATCCTGGGGCGATAGGAGACCCTGCCTCAAAAAACCAAAACCCAAACCAACAAAACTAAACAACTCAGTCAGGAAAACAGCAGAGTCATTGCAGAAGCCCAGGCGAAGAAAGAGTTCATGGTTAAGCTTAAGCAATCATAAAGGAGAAAGGCTTACTTAAAACTATGAAAACACAATGAAATGAGACTTTTTTTTCTCCTAAGAGACATAAGGTGATGGATGTATTTGGTGCATAACATATAATCTTGCTTCTCTCTATTATACCCTAAGATTACTGGCTAAGCTCAAAGCTATTACTATGTAGCCAATGACTTAGCGCCCTGTGAGTGTCATCAAGACCTGATTTTTTTTTAATTTTATTTATTTATTTACTTATTTTGAGGCAGAGTCTAGTCCCTGACTAGGACAAAATCTATATGTAGCTAAGAATGACCTGTAACTTTTGGTCTTCTTGGCTTTGCATTCTGAGTGCTGAAATTACAGGTGTGCATCACCACACCCAATGTCTATGGCACTTCTTGCTCACTAGGCAAACACTGTACAACTGAGTTATACCTGCAGCCCACATCCTACATTCTTTTTTTTTTTTTTTTTTTTTTTTTGGTTTTTCGAGACAGGGTTTCTCTTTGTAGCTTTGCGCCTTTCCTGGAACTCACTTGGTAGCCCAGGCTGGCCTCGAACTCACAGAGATCCGCCTGCCTCTGCCTCCCGAGTGCTGGGATTAAAGGCGTGCGCCACCACCGCCCGGCTCACATCCTACATTCTTAAAGGATTTCCTCCCATTGGACTGCTTAACTTGCAGAAATGCATTAGTATGTTACTAAGCATAAAGATTATTCTAGGCTCTTAGAATCTGAGCCTGACTACAAAGGAGAATTAACTTATATTATATATAAAGTTTTAAATATATCTATATTTAAAAGAGAAAAAATGCCCTTAGGAAACAATTGTGTATTGATTGAATGCAACCTCATGTACGGTCCTACATTTCAATCCTAATGATAAACATCTGCTATTACTTCAAAGTTCAGGCTGTGGTTTTCCTGTTATATACTAAAAACTTTTCATTTAGTTATATGTCATGGAGAATTCGGGGAGTTAGCTCACCAGTGGGAAATTAGGCACTTTTAAAAATAAGGCTCACTTTAGAATCATGGCTATTATTTTCTTTTTTGATTTTTCAAGACAGGGTTTCTCTGTGTGATAACCCTGGTCTTTCTGGAACTCTCTTTGTAGGCTGGGCTGTCCTCGAACTCACAGAGATCCTCCTGAGTGCTGGGATTAAAGGTGTGAGCCACCACCACCCGGCGAATTATAGCCATTTTTATTTGCTTGTTTCTACTAAATGGGGACACAGGCTAGTGGCTTTCAGGATTGAGTTGTTCACTTAGACAGCTGTGTTTTGGAAGTCAAATATCAACACATCTGGTGTAATGCTGGGAATGTATTTGAAAAGAGAAAGCCCCCATAAACTGAGTCCATTAGAGGTGTGTGAGCCATTGACAGCAGGTAACAGAACTAAATTTGCTTTGATCTGTGTGTGTCCCATAATATCATGTCGTATGTCTTGAGTGTGCATAATGAAAATTTAAAACTTATTTCACATCTTTATAATCTTCTGAGATGATTTGCATTTTAATTCTGTTTGTATGGATGGGGAATTTCATCACTAAAACAGTTCATGTACTCATGGTCACACAACTGACATTGGGAACTAAAATTTGAACTAAGGTGATCTAAATCCAGAGCCTATGTTCTTAATCAGTGTGCTACACTGCCCTTCCCAAACACCAATGTGTGTGTGTGTGGGGGGGGGGGTAGAATTATGTATTATATAGACAGATAAATAGATTCCATGATAGATGTAAAATTGTGTGCATATATTCGAATATACTTGCCAACTCTATCACACCTCCAGGGTGTAGGCGTTGAAAATGAGTGTGTTAAGCTATTCACAGAATTAGCTATGGCATACTCTGTCACAGTGACATGACCACTGTCCCCACCTTCCCTCACCAGGGGTCGCTCAAGTGCTGAACAGACTCGATGGGAAACCTTTCGACGATGCAGACCAGCGGCTTTTTGAGGTGAGCAATCAACTTGTAAGCCAAAGGCCAGAACTGAGTCGCCAACAGTTTTCCTGCCCACATTTGTTAGGATAAACATTAATCATTTTAATATAGTTAAATGGCGTGCCAGAAAAGAGGAAGATCTGAAAGACTATATAAATGCATAGGCGCCGGGCGGTGGTGGCGCACGCCTTTAATCCCAGCACTCGGGAGGCAGAGGCAGGCGGATCTCTGTGAATTCGAGGCCAGCCTGTTCTAGCGAGATCCAGGAAAGGCGCAAAGCTACACAGAGAAACCCTGTCTCGAAAAACCAAAAAAAAAAAAACAAAAAAAAACAAATAAATGCATAGGCAAGATTTGATTGTGTTTTCCCTCATCGGATTAATCTGTAGCCTTTGATCTTAGTCTTATTGCAGAATTGAATTACCTCCATTTCTGTCTGATATCACCATCCTTGTCTTGTTCGAACATGTGCAGTCATGAGACCCCTAGCCAGCCCTGCCAGGTATATGTCCCCCGTGTTCCTTTAGTTCACGAGGCTCTGTTCCCTTGTGTCTCCATCAGAAGAGGTTAGCTTTGATGTGCTTTCTCACAGTCTGTACCAGAATCTACCCACCAAAAAAATGTATCGTTATTCTTTCTCATCGCATCTTTTTTTCAGTAGCTGGTTTCAAGCCAGTCTCGTTGCCCTTAGCTCTTACCTCATGGCTTCTCTTCCTTAGTTTCTTGACCAAAACATTTTTTAGCCTTGCTATTGAAAGGGGTTGCTTCTGGTTAAGTAAAATAGAATAATTAGAATCAGTCTACTGCCCAAATAAATTAAGACCACATTTAAACACATTGTACGCTTTCAAATGTATGAAGTTATTTCTTCACAGTATCATTAAAGTAATGATTTTTTTCCTCATGTGCAATGTGAGCCATAAAGTTCTTACATGACAATAGTAATTAAGAATTGTAATGCACTTTTCCCCGAGGCCCACCTCCGAGCACAATAAAATTATATTTTCCGAATTGTCTCTAGTGACCTCCTGCTTTCATATTAGATTTTGGCTGTGAGTTATTCCGGTTTCTAATTAACAGGCTTTCTGTGTCCTAGGCTTTTGTCATCTTCTGTGGCCTTGGTATCAACAACACAATTATGTACGATCAAGTAAAGAAGTCCTGGGCCAAGCAGTCTGTGGCTCTTGATGTAAGTACAGTATTATATCAGCGTGCTCTGCTAAGAGGCCTTGACTCTATGAAGTGAAAATTTGTCCTATTCATGGGTTTTAATCTTTAACTCTTAAAGCCTCTCCTCACCGGGTCTTAATTCTTTTATGGTCTTGGGTTCAATTGGGTACCAAGTGGAGACCCTCTCTTGAAAACTACACAGTGCAGCCTGTAGTATCAGGGAGTTTTTTGATTCCTGGGAGCCTATTCATATACATCCTACCATTAGATATCGATTTTTATACTTGATTTATTAAAAAGAGATAAGTCAAAATAATTTGTCACTGTTATAATCCCAACACTTGGGAGGCAGAGGCAAGAGGATGAGTTGGAGGGCAGTTCCGTAGCCAGACCCTGTTTCCAACAAGCAAGCAAAAACAATTGTTGGAACTTAAAATAGATTATGAACTTGAATATATGTGTTTGTGTATGTGCATGTGAGTGTGTGTGTGTGTTTCTGCCAATTCACAACCTTTCTTGCCACACAAGGGAAATCTGACACTGAAGACATGTAGCCCAGATCTGCTCCTTCCATGCATTCATGTATAACACACACTTCCTAATAAGAATTGCATTCTGATCCTTGCATGTCTGCCCAGACCCATGAAGTTCTAAAGAACAATTCTCCTCTCCTGTGAATCTTGGAGGCTTATTTTGACACAAGACCTTTTTTTTCCCCCAGCATCTTCTCTATAGATGGTACCAAAGATTTTGTTTTTATCTAAGAAAAACTTAGGAAATAGGGGAGATAGAATATCAGTGCCAAAATATCAGTGATATAACAGAATGATAGAATTAATGTTCACTCTTCAAAATGTTCTCAATACCAAGCTAGGTGCTGGGAAAAAGAAAAAGCACAGAGGACATTTGTGGTGCTTGCATACTTAAAGATACAAAATTATTGCTATCTAATTGGTCTGCATTTCCTCTTCCCATTTAGACCATGAATTCTGGAATCACAGAGTTTCATGATAGATTTTTAGTGCCTGGCAGGATCCTTAGCACAAAGGAAAGATTTGCGGAATAGTTCTTAGGTGAAGGGATGGGGAAGGGAAGATGGTGGACAGAAAACATTGAGGTAAGGGGTTTGGGATAGTTCTCCTGAGAAAGAATTCCTTTGTTCCTATGAAACATGTTGATAGTAAGGACTGAAGACAGTACCTTTAATGAATAAGTGAGCTGAAAACATATAGCCAATGTGTAGGAATCAGTACTAAACTAGATATGGTGGCACACGTCTTCAATCCCAGGAGGCAGAGGCAGGAGGATTTCCATGAAATTGAGGCCAGACTGGTCTACATGGTCAATTCCAAGCCATCCAAGGCTACATAGTGAGATTATGTTCCGGAAAGGAAGGAAGGAAGGAAGAGAGAGAGCAAGAAGGAAAAGAAAAGGAAGGGAGAGAGGGAGGGAGGGAGGGAGGGAGGGAAGGGAAGAAAGAGGAGAGAGAGGGAGAAAGGGAGGGAGGGAGGAAGGAAGGAAGGAAGGAAGGAAGGAGGGAGGGAGGGAAGGAAGGAAGGAAGGAAGGAAGGAAGGAAGGAAGGAAGGAAGGAAGGAAGGAGGGAAGGAGGGAAGGGAGGAAGGACGAACTACTAGTGAGCTAAGGAGATGGTTTCAGTGGACAATGCACTAACCATGTAAGCATGAGGACCAGTGTGTGGAGCCCAGAGCCCACAGCTGGGTGGGTTGGCAGTTGCCCACATTTTACCTCTCAAGAAGCATAGATGGGGTCTCCCGTGGGCAATACTGCTGACTAGCCCAGTTGGAACTGGTGAGCACCGGATTCAGTAGCATTGGGCCTCCATGTGCATACAAGTACACACACACACACACACACACACACACACACACACACACACACACACACATCTACACCACACACACATGCAGCATGCATGCACAGCACACACACTAACGCACAAAATCACTACTAGAGCAGGAAGGGCTGTGTGCCAACTGTTTTCCTGTTGTGACGCAGGTGTGAGAATTAAGTGAGATAATACCTGTGAAGGTTTGAACGGGCCATCGGTAATGTCGCACAACAACAGTAATCACCGTGCTCATACATGCAGTGCTGTGTTTAGTCCTGAGACGCAGTTGGGAGAAGGAACATAGGGCATGAATATGAAACAGCAAACGCTGAGACTCTCGTCAAACTCCGTCCGCAGTCACCACATCCATTGTTTTTCACCGTTTGCAGCCATCTAAAAACAAACAAGCCAACCCAGCAAAGAACATTCCATATGTCTAGTCCCAACTAGATCTCCTCATGCTGTGGCGTCATTAACGCAGAGAGAAAACATCCACGCACCCCTGCGTTCTCACTCTTCACCACCTCCTCATGCATCTTCATCCCATTAAGTGACTAGAATGACTGGGTTGCAGCGTGAAGGGCCAGTTGTCCCCAGATGAGAGAGTCTCATAGCCATCGTCTCCTGACCCCTCTCTGGCTTCCAGGCTAGTCCCTAGCCACAATCTCCGAATGTGAAGGCTTATTTGTGTTCCTAGCAAACATCTTCATGCTGGTGCCCCTCAGTAACCTTCTGTCCTTACACACAAATTATGACTGACGACTACCAACATTTCTGGCTCACCTCGGACTATGACAAGGTCACCCTTTCACGAACGTGACTTCTGTTGTTGACTTTTGTTCTGTGGGCTTGCTGTCATGCCCGTCAAAGGCAGTCTTCTCTACTAGATCTTGGTATTGCCACTTTGGTGTCCCTCTGACCCTTAGCCAACCTTCATGTCACTGGGAGCCAAGTCTTGGTGATTGTGACTGGTTGGTCCCACCCTATGCCCTGGCTAAAAATTTATTGGAAGAGTTATTATCTTCAGCACTTACAAAGACAAAATATGATTTATTGAGAGCGACTAACAAACTCGGCTGTAACATTTTCGTATACTATGGTGTGTTAACTTCTGAGTGAAAGTACATTAAATTTATGTACTTACAAATATCATACATGAATGTGAACAAATATTTTTGTAAATGTTTTCATTAAAATGGGCATGTATATTTATATTTTAAGAAACTTAGTTCTATAAAGGATAGGAGCTACTTTATAATACTATAAATGGTCTAGTAAAATGTTAAACAATAAAATAATAATAACAACCAAGACACAGACAGAAAGCCAGAGGGAAGAGAACCAAATATAGGGTTATCCTTAGTTTCAATTCTTCCTGCCTTAGGCTCTGAGCTGGTCCTTACTCATTTTCCACTACAGCCAAAGAAAGGTTTCCCACTCAGTCTGGCCAGAATCATCCCCCTTTTTTGTTTTGTTTTTTTGAGACAGGGTTTCTCTGTGTAATAGCCCTGACTCTCCTGAAACTCACTTTGTACACCAGGCTGGCTTCAAACTCACAGAAATCCACCTGCCTCTGCCTTCTGAGTGCTGGGATTAAAGGCATGTGCCACCATGCCCAGCTCTTTAAAAATATTTATTTTTATTTTATGTGTATTGGTGTTTTACCTGCATATATGTCTGTGTGAGGGGGTCGGGTCCCCTGCAACTGGAGTTATAGTTGTGAACTGCCATGTGGGTGTGGGAATCAAACCCGGGTCCTCTGGAAGAGCAGCCAGTGCTCTAACTGCTGAGCCATCTCTCCAGCCCTTGAATCACCCCACTTTTTACATACTCCTCTTGGTCTTGATTCTACTTGAATTTCCCCAAGAAGTCAGTCTACGCAGTTTTCTTATTCCGTTGTCTTGTGTGTTTCATGGGTAAAAACAGTGACAGGGAGGAAGCCATCCCTCAGCCCCAGGGTAGCAGCCACCCTAGAAACCTTTCTTTCCTGGAAGGGAGCACACGTGGTTCTGGGCCTCAGGCGCTCATAGGAGCATCTTTCCCCTGGAGGTCAGGAGGCAGCACAGCTCTGTTCTGTCTTTTAAGCATCCTTTCCCCCAAGGGAAAAAAGTAAAATAAAATGCTCTATCTCTGAAGTAAGTGTTTTCCTAGTCAATCCTTGTAAGTGGTGTGGACACTACCTCCAAAACACTCAGGGCCCCTGAAGGACTGACCTTTTCTCCTTCCTTCCTTCCTTCCTTCCTTCCTCCCTCCCTTCCTTCCTTCCTTCCTTCCTTCCTTCCTTCCTTCCTTCCTTCCTTCCTTCCTTCTTTCCTTCCTTCCATCTTTCCTTCCTTCCTTTCTTCTCTCTTTCTTAGCCGAATGCATAGCTTTAACTTACTCCACCCTCCTCAAAAAGCAACTGATTCATGTGCATTTATTTGATGCCACCTACTTTTCTTATTGATTTAAAGCACCATATGAATTATACAAATTCATATATGTGTATGTTTATATATTTAAATATATTTCTTTCTTTCTTTTTTTTTTTTTTTTTTTTTTGGTTTTTCGAGACAGGGTTTCTCTGTGTACCTTTACGTCTTTCCTGGATCTCGCTCTGTAGACCAGGCTGGCCTCGAACTCACAGAGCTCTGCCTGCCTCTGCCTCCCAAGTGCTGGGATAAATGCATGAGCCACCACTGCCCGGTAAATATATTTCTTTATATATTATTTTGTTCCACTAATCTGGAAGAAAATCCTCCCAGACTTCATTGCTTTAAGGATACTTTGAATTTCTGTCTTGCTCTGCACTGGCATCTCCTGCAGAAGGAGGCTGATGACCTCAACCAAGCTGAAAGCAGGATAGGTGGAAGATAGCCATGTTTGCACATGTGTGGTTCTAATTTGGATTGAGTCCTGATTCCATAGCTGTTGACCTCAGACATTCCACATAAGTTCTTCGTTAATTCATATGGCGAATGAGCATGAGAAAGTATCTTTTTTTTTTTTTTTTTTTTTTTTTGGTTTTTCGAGACAGGGTTTCTCTGTGTAGCTTTGCACCTTTTCCTGGAACTCACTTGGTAGACCAGGCTGGCCTCGAACTCACAGAGATCCGCCTGGCTCTGCCTCCCGAGTGCTGGGATTAAAGGCGTGTGCCACCACTGCCCGGCGAAAGTATCTTAACAGTTAA